CCTCCTCCTCCTCCTCCTCCTCCTCCTCCTCCCCCCAAACCCCACTCCCTTCTACTTCAGAGAGCACCAAGGACCTCACGTTTCACGCCACTGTCCAATTTTGGGTCCCAACTCCCTACCCATCTTTTTTCTGCCTGCCTCGCCCGTCGAGGCTGAACGTCTGACTCAGGACTCCTTGCCCTAGGTGTGGAAGACGAGGATGAGGACGGGAGAGAGGAGAGGCTGCCGTCTTGCTTCGACTACGTCATGCACTTCCTGACGGTCTTCTGGAAGGTTCTCTTCGCCTGCGTGCCGCCCACCGAGTACTGGAACGGCTGGGCCTGCTTCAGTGTTAGCATCATGGTGATTGGCATGCTGACCGCCCTCATTGGCGACCTGGCCTCCCACTTCGGCTGCACGGTGGGACTCAAGGACTCGGTCAATGCGGTCGTCTTTGTGGCCTTGGGCACGTCCATCCCAGGTGTGCCCCCCGTCTGCCCTGTTCACACATGACTCTTGGCCCAGTCAGCCACTTACGGGTGGTCCTCGACTCACGACGGCAACGGAGCCCAGAATTTTGGCCGTAAAGTCATAGCGGTTGTGAGTCCGAGGCATCGTGTGATCGCAATCAATTTTACCATTATGTTATGATCGTCGTAAAACGAGCCACACGGTCATTAAGTGAACCCTGAGGAATGAATACATGAACCCAGCATTTCCAATGGGTGGTTTTTTCGATATTTTCTGCTGGAAAACCTTTAGGGCTGATTTTCCCGCAGAAAATACCCAAAACCACCCATTGGAAATGCTGGATTCATGTATTCATTCCTCAAGGTCCACTTAATGACCGTGTTATTCAGACTCCGATTGGTTAACTACTGTCCAACTTGCAATCACTCGTTTAGTGACCGTTCAGAGTTATAACAGCACTGAAAAAAGTGACTTACGACCATTTCCCATACTTACGACCCTTGCAGCATCCCCAGGGTCACGTGATCCAAATTCAGACGCTGGGCAACTGACTCGTATTTATGACGGTCGCAGTGTCTTCCAGGATCACGTGATCCCCCTTTTGCCACCTTCTGACAAGCAAAGTCAATGGGGCAGCCAGAGCCACTGAGCCACTGTGGCCCTGTGTTGTTGTAAGTTGAGGATCCCCTGTACACATGGGCCGTGAAAGTGGGGAGACAGTGGTGGTGTGGGGGTCCCCCAGGGGACCAAGGTCTGTCTGGTTTTTCTGGACTTGCACATCCTCAGCGCTCTCCTCTTTCCGCAGACACCTTTGCCAGCAAAGTGGCCGCTCTGCAGGACCAGTGCGCGGATGCGTCCATCGGCAACGTGACGGGCAGCAATGCGGTCAACGTCTTCTTGGGCCTGGGCGTGGCCTGGTCGGTGGCGGCCATTTACTGGGCTTTCCAAGGCAAAAACTTCGAGGTGCAGACGGGCACCCTGGCCTTCTCCGTCACCCTCTTCACCATCTTTGCCTTCGTTTGTATCAGTGTCCTCATGTACCGCCGGCGGCCCCACATAGGGGGTGAGCTGGGGGGTCCCCAAACTGCCAAAATCCTGACCACCTGCCTCTTTGTGGGCCTCTGGCTGATCTACATCCTCTTTGCTGGCCTGGAGGCCTACTGCCACATCAAGGGTTTCTGAAGGACGTCAACGGAAGGACGTGGCGAGGGAGAGTGGACACCAAGGGGCTCGCTTTGCGGCACCTTCAGCAGGCCCGACGTCCATGAAGCTCCTCCTCCTCCAGCGTTTCGAGCTTCTTTTGAAGACAAACACCCTCTGTCATCTAGAGGGAAGACAGATCTAGACGGAAGACTCCCATCCCTCTCTTCTACCAGCCTGTCCATTTTGACCTACCACACTTTCAGGCATCTTCTGATGGTTGGGCACCTCTTGTTTTCCAACTGGAGACCTCTTCTCCCTTCTTACTTGCCTCTAGCAAGAGACTCCGATCCATTCCAATCTTGGTGTGTCCCACTCATGCAGACTAAGGATGCAAACCCAGAGGACTGGAGCGGGCATCTGTGTTAATCCCCCTGCCCCAATTGCTTCGATTCTTTGACCCTCCCAAGGAACCCAGTTGTGTTTCTACTAAAGTGTCTTCCTGTGGCTATATCGTTTTCTTCAAGCTGGTACCCTTGGCCTGGATCCAAAGGGAGATGTTCTCTCTGCTTTAGAGCACACTCACATACACACAGAGAGAATTGGAAACAGACCTTTCTCTTACCTTCTTTTTTGAGGTGGGAAGAGGACACATTGAAGAAGGTCTGTGTCAGAGGCGAAATAAGACGCATTATGACGTCTCTCCTGTTGCTGGACATTTTTGGACACCTTCTTGGGGTCGAAGCCAGCGTGAAATCAGTTCTGGAGAAGACTGGCCAGTTTTAACTGTCCCAATTCATGGGAACAACAGAAGGGGATATATTTGGCCTCAGTAGCAGCCCCTTCCCCAGTTCCAACGTTGAGGGCAGGGGAACAGATGATCGGTTGAGGGATCTTGCTGGATTTATGGGTACTGGGAAGTAGTTTGGGCAGAGACACAGACTTCTGTGGAAGCTACAGGTTTCCAGTCTTCTGCTTTACTCTCTTGGAAAAAGGGGTTAAAGAATCCATGTTCCTTCTTATCCCCATGTTAGTGGGGAAATTGCACACACCCCTCAGTTGATGTACCCCATGTAAAACAGGGTGCTTTTTTCTGCTCCTCTATTTATGTCCACCTCCTTGAAGACTCCTTCCTTTCTCCCTGGAAGCCCACCACCACAGCTGGATGGCAGGTTCAACCAATGGGAATGAAGATGGTCCCTGGGACGAATTAAACTTTGTGCAGGTTCTCACACACTCATTGCCTGATGTGGGAGCTTGGGAGCCCATTGTTGTCTGATGCTATCAGTGTAATGTGGGGTCTAGTAAGGTCTAATCAAGGGTTTCCTTGCATTAGGAGTGCTAAAACCGGACTTGGAATTAACCATGGTCGATTTCTGCCAAGGGGGACTTGAACACATTTGAATGGAACCAGAATCTGGAGTGCCATCCGGGGCAACATCTGTTCACTTCTCCAGCTGTGTGTCTGTCCAGTGTTTATAGATATCTTTTCCTCGCTCCAAAGCAAACGTCGCATCTGGGTGTACATTTAGGTCCAACTCCCCTGCACACTGCTGATTTTTAGAGATAGGCCACCCCGTCGTGCTTGCGTGCCAATAGGAGACAGAAGAACTTGGAAGTCAAGCCTTGAGAGATGTTCTGTAGATTGGAGAAGACGTTTCAGTCATCTTGAAACCAATAGCGGCAGAGCTTGCTTTGCTAGGCTGGAGGACTTGAGTGGAAGGGATCACCCCCATCTTTTCTAGGCAGAAGTTAGATGGGGTGAAAACGAAGCTTTGTGCAGGACCATGGACAGATCCATTTAAGCACAGCCATCTGCACCTTCTGCAACTCATCCTTGGCTTTGCTTCTCTAGAAGAACTGGCTGAGATCCTTCAGAGGCCCCAATTTTGCATTTTTTTTTTGGCTTCTGCAGATTAAAGAAAACAAGCATTGGGGGGGGGGAGAAATCTTCTAAGTCAGAGGTCTATTCACATCTTCTAGGAGGGATGGCACAAGAGCAGGTTTCTGGCTATAGCACTTGATTATCTTTGGTGGGCCAGCAACCAAGAAATTCTAGGCCAGCGTTACTCACCTTTGGCAACTTGTAGTTGGACTTCTGGACTTCAGCTCCCAGAATTCTCCAGCCAGCACTGCTCTGGGTTATGGGCACATGTGGTTTTTTTTCTCTCATTGGGAAAAACAAGAGGGAGAAAAAAAAACAACCATTTGTAATAATGTTTTTCTAGGGTGATGGAAGCTGTCCTTCTAATGATGAATCCTTAAACATTTAGAAAGGAGATGGAGGAAGAGGAAGAGGAAGAGGAGGGGGAGGAAGAACAGGCAGCAGAAGAAGAGGAATATCTAGAAGTGTTTCTCAACCTCATCAACCTCAAGATATGTGGACTTCAGCTCCCAGGATTCTAACAGTTGAAGTCCAAACATTTTGAAGTTGCTGAGGTTGAGAAACACTACTTAAGTAGATTGTCCTATGGGAGGATCGTTAAGTAGGGGCAACTAATGAAAGCCTTGTTGACCTGTCCTGAAGTAAGATCTGTCTCTTGTACACGGGCACTGCATGCACACACAAATGCATCAGAGCTTGTACCATACTAGCATAAGGGAGCTTTCATGATCTGGGTTATCCTGGCATCAGATCCTGCGGACGTCTCTGATTCCAAGTCCCCAAATCTCTGCAATTGCACAAGCATTCAAGGTATAAACCTTTGCTCTTGAGATACCCCCATTGTTCCCTTCTTGCCAAGCCTGGGAATACTCCAGGCTGGATTAGTGAAACAGTCCACGATGCCCCTTCAAACAGGTCTAAAAAGCCGTATCGTTTCCTTCCACAGAGCCAAGGCTGAACACAAAACAGAGTAGTTATGCAAAGAAAGCACAATATCCCACCTGGAGCTGTAACAAGGATGGAGGGAGAAAAATGAGAGGATAGCAAGATAGCCAGTTTGGTGTAGTGGTTAAGGTGCTGTCCAATCACCAGGAGATGGTAAGTTCTAGTCTCACTCCGGGCACGAAAGCTGGCTGGGTGACTTTGGGCCAATCGTCAGCTGACAGCGAGTTCTAGTCCTGCCTTAGTCATGAAAGCCAGTTGGGTGACATTGAGTCAAACACCAAGAGATGGTGAGTTCTAGTCCCACTTTAGACCTGAAAGCCAGCTGGGTGACTTTGGGCCAATCACCAGGCGACGGTGAATTCTAGTCTCGCCTTAGCCATGAAACCCAGCCGGGTGACTTTGGGCCAATCCTTTCCTTTCAGCCCAAGCCCACCTCACACGGCTGTTGTGGGGGGAAAGAGGAGGAGGAGAGAAATATTAGGTACGTTCACCTGCCTTGAGTTACTTACAAAAGCGGGATGAAATAAAATCTAGCAACTAAATAAATAATCCCGAACGAGAAAGGGGAGAATAAAAGGTTGGCAGCTTGCAGGTTTAATGTCCCTCTGGGCTGCTTAATTCAGCCTCTCTAAAAGACGGCAAGCATATTAAGTGGCCCGCTTTTCACTCTTCTGTCTCGAATGCTTGCTTGTTGTTGTTGTTGTTGTTGTTGTTGTTTTAAAAGAACATTGGGAATACTGAGAAAAGCCATGGACGGGGTGTCCCCCAACAGTACTTTGCAAAAACAGCCACTTGGGAAATCGCTGGGTGAGTTGTGCTGGTGTGTATTCACTCGTTCCCTTGATCGTAGGCTGATGGCCGATGTCGGCTTGCCTCCAACCAGCCGGCATTTCTCTCCCCTTCCGTTTTCCAAGCACAGGTTGGCCTGGCATCTAAGCACTTTCCAAGCCAGGATGTATGGTGTTTTTTTTAAAGAATCAGGTGGACGTTTTTTTTTTTTTAATTTTTCCCTTCCCAAAGTCCCACCCAGTTTTCTTCTCAACACAAATGATGGGAACAATTTTCTACAGCGGTGAGGAAGCTGAGGGTAGAGGGAAAGTAATGGAAAATGTTTAACAGCAAGGGGCAAGTACCGTTTGTCTGAAAAGGTACATAGAGTTTCCTGCCTGAGCAGGGGGCTGGACTAGAAGACCTCCAAGGTCCCTTCCAACTCTGCCGTTCTGCTAAGGGGTGGGGATCCAGACAGTGTTTTTAATACTGAGTTTTCTTAACACTTCTTCCGTTTGGGCACACGACAGGAACGACCTTATAATGGATGAAACTTTGTAGAGTTTTCGGCTTAGCATCCCCAGGGGTAAAAAAAGTGGTAAAAAACCCTTTGCAGTTCTCTCTCTCTCTCTCTCTCTCTCTCTCTCTCTCTCTCTCTCTCTCTCTCTCTCTCTCTCTTTCCTTTTTTTAAAAATTTCTGGCTCTTTCTAACGTTTTTCATTTAAAAAAAAATTGGGTTTCTGCGTGCGTTATGTGTATGTGGGTGTACAGATTGCCATAAACCGCTGCATTCTCGCGCCTTTTGTTCTGCAAACAACTAAAAGAGTAAAAAAAAAAAAGTATGTTGCTTTTGAAAAGCTTGCACGATCTCCTTCATGGGGGGCGGGGGGGGGAAACGAACAGCTTGATGAATATAATTAATTTTGAAGAAAGAACCGAACAGGTGAAGCGTTAAATGAAGGCGATGATTTTCAAGATAAATTTCTGATTTTATTTCTGTTTTACAATTAGTGCCCCTACGGGTAAAATCCTCTGGCGTTCTCCGGTACTCCTCGGCTTACAACTTACTTAAATGGGACCAGAATTTCCATTGCTAGCAAGGCAGTTGTTAAGTAAATCATGTTTGATTTTATGATCTTTTTTTGCCATGGTTGTTAAGTCAATTTTGAATCCGGCTTCTTCCATTGACTTGTTGGAAGCCAGCTTGGAAGGCTGCAAATGGCGATGACATGATTCCAAGACAGTGCAACTGTCATAAGTACGAGCCAGTTTCCAAGTGTCTGAATTTTGATCATGTGACCATAGGGATGCTGCAACGGCCATAAAAGCGAGGATCAGTTGTAAGTCACTTTGAACAGTCACTAAATGAATGGTTGTAAGTCAAGGACGACCTGTATACATAGATTAGATCATATGCATCGGATTTTTTTTTTAAAATGGGAAT